TGGCCGTCTATGAGGCCGTAAAGCATTTCCGCCACATGCTAGAAGCGCGCCACTTCATACATCGACATCCCGTATTGGTGTGCCGTCCCATAACATGGCCTCGAATTCGGCTTTTGAGATAGCGACTCGGTCCGGTGCCAGTCACCGTGGTCGGCAGGTGTAAAGTCGGACTACATAGAAAACACGTCACTGTCCGTATTGTTGTAGGCTTTGCCTAGCAACAACTGTTTACTCGCCGTTGCTAAGCAATAATACTTGTGTTGTTGCTGTAATGTTTGCTTGAATGTGGTCAGTTCCCACACCTCAGTAGACTAAATTAACTTGAATTTCATAATATGTTACCTGTACTCCATTTCTCTGCCTATTACAGTATACATTGTGATGGTACAATGTATAATTATTATTTATGCTTGTGTTTGTTTGATGGCTGCAAAGTCTGAAGACCAGGCTTGTGTGTTTGAAATTGATGTTCTGTAATTTATATATCACAGACAGGTATGTTTTGTACATGATAAAAAGATGAAGACATGAGTTTCCTCTTACGGGTCATTCCATGTGAAATCATCCAGAGAGGTCGCTCACCATTTTTAAAAAAATTCAAATTTTGTACACTTATTTCTACATATTTTCACACCTCAAAAATATTATTAAAAAAACTGTAATCCGCTCGGTTCTCCCGGTACAGCCATTTTTATAATGCGAAAAAACGCGTTTTCGGCTCAAATGGAGGTTTGCGTTATCTTCTGTATCTCGATAACTATTGCAGCTAGAGACTCCAATAAAAACCAATTTGTTCCTCATGATATGGACAACAAATCATATCATTTCAAGGTTTTACTCAACTCACTTCCTCTAGGTGTAATTAAGCTCGAAACTTGCCTATCGATTTTGGGGAAAACGCTATTTTTGACCTTCAGAAACCAATGGGAGGGGAAAGTATCAGATCTGTGGTTTCTACCCTTTATTTTCTCCTACATGAAGAATATAATCACATAGTTTTGAACGCCGTACCTATTTTCCAGGAGCTTCCAAACTTTGCTCTGAGCCCAAAATCCGCCATTTTTAACGTCTCATATCTCCGGTGGGGAAGCTCCGAAAATTTTTAAACTCATAGAAAATAATGCTCTATTCCAAAGTAACATGGAGTTAAAATTACAACTTTGATATTCAACTAATAGCGAAGTTTTTATAATGCGAAAAAACGCGTTTTCGCCTGAAATGGAGGTTTGCGTTATCTCCCATATCTCTATAACTATTGAAGCTAGAGACTTCAATAAGAAACCAATTTGTTCCTCATAATATGGACTATAAATCATATCATTATAAGGTTTCCCTCAACTCACTTCCTCTAGGTCTAATTAAGCTCGAAACTTACCTATCGATTTAGGGAAAAACGCAATTTTTGACCTTCAGAAACCAATGGGAGGGGGAAACTATCAGATCTGTGGTTTCTACCCTTTGTTTTCTCCTACATGAAGAATATAATCACGTAGGTTGAACCTCGTACCTATTTTCCAGAATTTTCCATCAGTTTTCAAACTTTGCTCTGGGCCCCAAATCGGCCATTTTTAACATCTCATATCTCCGGTGGAGAAGCTCCGAAAAATTTGAAACTCATAGCAAATAATGCTCTATTCTGGAGTAACTTGTAATTAAAATTACAACTTTGATATTCAACTAAAAGCGAAGCTGTGGGCACTTTGAATTTTACCAACAAAAATCAATACCTGCATCCAATGGTATTAGTTCTTTGTGTACTCCGATGAATATTTTCCAGTTTGTTTGAAAGTACACGTAGTTCAGTAAGTGTCCACTATCACGATGTCTTCGAAATCATCGGACTTGGATGCTTTATAACACCTGACCATGTTTTCCTCCAGATGGTGTTTTTCTCTTGTGTGGAGCACAGTTTTGCACTTTTGGAACATGCTTTTTAGAATGTTTTCATTTCTTGCCACTTCCTCTTTTGCCACAAAAATGGAAACTATCCCTGGGATTTTTTGTATGCAGAATATTTACAGTTCTAGGGGGCACATGATTTGATTAAAATGAGTTCTTTGAAGACTGGCTTTCGTTGCTTGCCTCTTCGTGGTGCTGCCTATACCGTCACAGGCATTCTTCCCGTGCAAGGTGGCAAAGAAGTCCCATTCTGCTTCAAGTTCGAAGTCTTCATAGTGATAACTAAATTGGAAAGATTCTATTTCTTTTTATATTGGCTTCCAGCGCCTTCACTGAAATAAATAACTTTCCTGACTGAAGGCACATTTCCTTTTACATCGGCGATAAGAAATTTTTGGAACACAAACTGTGGCTCTATCGTGCTTTACATGATCACTGATTATACACAAGCTTGGGCATTTTGTTATAGTGTCCGCCTTGTAGTAATTCACAAAAGGGTGATGTGTAGCCTGTTTATTTACCCAGTGGAAACTTTGAATCTCGTCTTGAACGAGAAACTAACAATTTTCTACAAAATCTGTAAAATTCAATGTGCCCACAGCTTCGCTATTAGTTGAATATCAAAGTTGTAATTTATTTCCAAGTTATTCTGGAATAGAGCATTATTTGCTATGAATTTCAAAATTTTCGGAGCTTCTCCACCGGAGATATGAGACGTTAAAAATGGCCGATTTGGGGCCCAGAGCAAAGTTTGAAAAATGATGGAAAATAGGTACGAGGTTCAACCTACGTGATTATATTCTTCATGTAGGAGAAAACAAAGGGTAGAAACCACAGATCTGATAGTTTCCCCCTCCCATTGGTTTCTGAAGGTCAAAAATTGCGTTTTTCCCTAAATCGATAGGTAAGTTTCGAGCTTAATTAGACNATTACTCAGCAACCAACCATGTTCTACTGTGCAACCAATTTAATCCTCAAGGTCATGCAGTTTGGGTCAGTCATATATGAGAAGGTATGTGCAGTGGCCTTGCACAAACTTTTTTTACCTTAAGATGGAGACAGAGTTACTTCCTTCTGGGTCAGAGTTACTTTATGACTGGTGGTTTACTGCCAGTCAGTTCATCTTGGCGCCAAGCCTTATGATCATGAGTCAGTTACTTTATGACTGCAGGTTTACTTCCAATCAGTTTGGCTTGGTGTCAAGCCCCTTGAGACTCATGACCACCGATTTTTTTCCAATTGAACCCTTCCAGTAATAGTCCTTATGCAACATCCTCTCTGAAGAGAGGATGGGTCTGTTGTTTAGAATTGCTGCTGGTCCTCACCAGCACAGTCATTCGTGAGTCCAAGTCCCACAGGACTCATAACAAAATTTTACTCTCTCAGATTTGAGACTCCCCCAACCTGGAGGGCCAGGTCCCTGTATTTATATCCCTCAGGAACAGGGTGGCCCAGTTATACCACCAGGCATTGGGTTCCCTTTTTGTTGCCTCCTACAACTCCAGTCACTTCCCCAAATGCCATGTATCCCTTTATACACACAACAGACAGTGTCCACAGAAACCTTTAAAACCGCTCAGTATTTTATATCCTTTCAGACGATTTCGTGCCAGCAGAAATTGATACTTTGACACATTCCCAACCAAGTGAAAAAAATATATGGGTACTTTATGAATATACAAAGAAACACAAATTTGACACTCACACATACAGAAAGAAGCTTTACAAACTGCAAATTTCTCCAGCAAGATGTTCGGTTTGCCTGCATGTTACATTTCCTTTCTTCAAAAAGGTATGACTACTTGTTCTGCAGGTAAGTACTGTGTTTTATTTTTTTTTCCCCCTTGGCACTACAGCCCCAGTGGGCCTAGGCCTACCTCCATGAACTTCTCTGTTCACACTGTATTTTATATGTACAGATAAAAGTCTTATAATTTTTCTTCATTGGGGCCTAGCAAAAATTTCAATGCAGTATATTTCTTCTGGCTTCATATTTCCTGACCTGGATGTTATTTCAAATTGCTTCATCTCTAATCTGCCTCATAATTCACTGACTGCAGTTATCCTGTGTGGCGCTTTTTGAGCTAGTACCTGCAGGCATACTGGAGAACAATTGACATGTACCAGGAAACATGCTTTTAGGGGGGAAAATACACCAATTGTACGCATCACTTGCTGTTGCATAAATGATAGAACAAACATCCAACCAATAACATCTGAATAAATTTGCCAAGTTTCATGACACATAGTATGAAACTTATTCCACTGGGTGTCACTGTGACACCATGTTAGATGGGTCTCTTGTCACCACGGCATAAACAAAACATATAGTAAAGTCCGTGTAGGTAAACATTTGTCTGATAAATTTCCTATCCAGAATGGTCTTAAACAAGGAGATGCTTTATCGCCACTCCCTTTCAACTTTGCTTTAGAATATGCCATTAGGAAGATCCAGCGAAACCAGGTGGGACTGAAATTAAACGGGACACATCAGCTGTTGGTCTTTGCCGATGATGTGAATCTACTGGGTGATAATGTAGATACCATAAAGAAAAACACACAAACTTTAACTGACGCAAGTAAAGAGGTTTGTCTAGAAGTAAACACAGAGAAAACTAAGTATATGTTACTGTCTCGTCACCAAAACATAGGGCAAAATCATGACATAAAGACAGGAAACAGATGTTTTAAAAATGTGGCACAGTTCTGATATTTGGCAACAATGATAACAGATCGAAACCTGATTCAGGAGGAAATTAAGAGGAGAATGAACTCGGGTAATGCTTGCTACCATTCAGTCCAGAACCTTTTGTCTTCTCATGTAGTGTCCAAACACATAAGAATTAGAATATACAAAACTATAATTTTGCCTGTGGTTCTGTATGGGTATGAAACTTGGTCTCTGACATTAAGGGAGGAATATAGACTGAGNCAAGTTCTACAACAGGAAATTCTTGAGTATCTGCAGAATTGGCAGCTCCTCCAGAAGGGCTCAGCTCCATGAGTAAGTAAGTAAGTCACTGTGACACAACATTTCAAAGCATTCAACAGTACAGACATTATTATTAGGGCTGAAAAAATACTGATAACTGCTACTGATATATTAATGATTCATTTATGATATGTGTTTATTTAATTCAAAATTACACAATAAGTATAAAAATATATTACACCAGAATACTAGAGTTCAGTGTAAACAATCCTTTGTCATTTTTATTTGATAACAACTGTGGTTATATTACTTGCCAAACAAGTGCACTGTTTCAGAAGGAATGACTAAATATACCAACACACGCAACAGAGCAGATGACTCAGGATTTTGTTAAAAGCAAAATAAATTCTGAAATTTAGGGGAAGAATTAAAAATCCACACACTTTTACCTCAAATTAGCCCTGTGAAAATTACATTGGTAAGTATGATAAAGAACAAGATTAGCCTATCCACTGACATCTTCACTTAAGTACCAAAACATTATAGTTAAAGATCATTATGTAAAAGATGTACTGTTAAGTATTGTATCTAAATACAATAACAGACAAATTACATAAACATATCAGCCATTTTTTGAGTTTGTAAGACCTTCAAACATTAATAAACAATCAAATGTTAAGAAGTAAAGAATTAAGACATGTTTTGTTTGAATGAAACTTCAGACTATAATAGATTCTTGATTACCTGCTACTTTTACAGCCCCTTATAAGATTATATGTAGGTTCCCATAATGATTTTACTACTACCTAGTGCACCTCCTTACCCTGTTGTAACTTCCTGTTTCATTATTTTAATGCATTTTGTGCCAGCGTACTACTACTACTGAAAAGGGTTGCTTTTTTTGTGTTGGGATAAGATTTGTCTCACTACATAGTGACTGACAGCATGACCAGCAGACTATATGGTCTGCAGTTTTCACTTCACACAGATTTCATTTGAAGGATATTTGGAATATCCTCTTGTTTTTGAATGTCTGCAATATGTCTTCCTTCCATTACTATGGTTTATTCAGAGTTCACTGTAATTTAATGAACATCAATCTAAAAGAATTACTCTGAATGTTATAACATTTTTATCTGAAAAAATTTCTCTGTCATGATGGTAGCAATAGTAGGTTAATAATACTGTTTGCAAAAAGTGACTGCATGTTATATTTTGTCTGTTTGCTTTGTGCTACACCGGTACAAAAATATCCAGCAAAATGCTAGGAAACGTTAGTAGTAATGTTAACTCTTGAGGTTCTCATAGCAGTGATTATAAAGCATACTGTCTTCTGGGGTGTGACACCATGTAGTCTGGTAAAAGTTCACTGGCATTTCAGGGGAACATGCTGCCTCTATTTTTAGAGCAACAATTAAGCCAAACAAGCAACAAACAACCAAAAATTCTGCTTGCTTCTTGCTTGGTTAACTCTTTAAGTTGGTGGCAGTACATTCCTCTGATATGGTGGTAAACTTCTACCAGATTATGTAGCATCACATCCCAGAGAACAGAACTCATTGTAATAGTACTGATTTTGTTTTGGGCTCCTGCAGTATGTCATTCCAGCCCACTTCCAGTACTACTCAAGGCAGTGGTTTCCAAAGTGATGAGCACAACTGGTTAGTTGGGGGGGTTATATTCTGGGAAAGTAATAATAGTAAAACTGAATATTATGATTCTCAAAATGTCATAACATTTGTAAAATTTTGACAAAATACCTAAAATGCGTTGATTTTAAAAGTGAAACAAAAAAAAATCTGTTCCCTGCATGAGTGCATATGCAATGCAATCTTTGCTAAGCTATGGGTGTGCCATTATATAAAATTTGGAAACTAGTGATTTAAGGTGTTACGTAATGAAAGTAAGATGTATGTTCTTCTGATAATTTTGTGATATTCAAATCTGGAATTGTTCCAGAGCAGTCTTCGTGTCATTGAACACATGACACAGTCTGGACTGTAACCTGGCCAAGTTGACTGTTGCATACTGAAAACTGGAAACTCTGAAGACCATGGCAGGCAGCTCCATATTCGCCATCTTTTCTTAGCACCACAATTGCTCCTACAAAGTCAGGATAATAAGTAACAATGCGTCGAATTGCCAACTCGCCTGCATATGAAGGAGAAGTTCCTCGTCTCATTTCCTCAACAGCCAAGTAACTGAAATAAGTATATACACTGCTATTAATAGATTGTGATAAGAAAGTTATTATAAATATATTCTATTAATATAATGTTCTATAATGGAATACACATACTTTAGAAACGTTTGCTGCTATTCTGGAAACGTTATTTGACTTGAAGATTATTTATTGCAGACAGAAATATATTGTTGCAAAGCTAAGCCAGAAATTCAGAAAATTCTTTTCCTTGTATTTTGGTACATACTGAATATTTAAAACAAAAGTTTCAGAAATTAATGAGATGTGAAGAATTTTATCTTCTGGGGTATAACATCGCATAGTCCACTGAAAGGCAATCGATATTTCAGATGAATATGTCGCTGCTAGCTTCAGTTTGTTTCATACTGGTTTCATGCTTAGCTTGATCTCCAGTCCTAAAGATGGAGGTGGTAGGTTCATCAGAAGCACTGACAGACTTTCACAAGACTATATGGCATTATATCTCAGAAGACATAACTTTTATAACCACCATTATGAGAACCTCAAATTTTACATAATGAGGTCTGTATTTTTTGACTTACTATTTTTGTAATATGCTAATAAATTTTTATGAAATATAATAATGCTTAGTTTAAAATTAGTATAAAATATGGACTGTACTTAAAGTTTATGCAACAAAATTAAATTTTACTGACATGTCCTTAAGTGAATTACAGTATAAAATACAATGAAAATCTGTTCTGTGGTTTTATGGACAAAATACAGACATTGGCTTCCCTGTTACGTTTTCCCTTTATTGACTTCATTTAAAGAACATACAGAAACCAATCACAGACTAGAAAAAAATATATTTTCACAACAGATAAAACAGACCTTCAAATGTAATAACAGACCTGACATGAGAAAGAAAGCTTGTTCTTGCAATACAAAAGCTGACATATACTGAACTAAATTCTGTTTCTTAGGTGTACTCATATCTACACTTCTTCAAATTAAATGCATACCTGGGTAAGAATCTCATCATGACATCGCCATCACCTGTAGCAGCTGCAGCCCCTACACTGCCATCTGCATATGCTCCTGCCCCTGGGATGGGTGAGTCACCAACCCTCCTACAGAAAATGCCATCATTAATGAAATCTACAGTTCTATTTAATTTTTATCTTTTACAGCAATATCAATATTCCTTGAATCTGAATTTATTTTTCTGTAACAAACAAATGTCTCATTTAAGACATTAAAAGTAACATACAGAGCATGGAGGTTTATAATATACGCATAACATTTGAAGTAAAACCCTAAGCAAGAAATGAAAAGTATCTTTTGATATAGTATTTTATGTTACACCCACACCCTACAATGTGTGAACAAATTATCTTATTAACAAAAGCAAATCTCCACTACGCACTAAATTACTCACCCTGGAATTTTGAACTTTGCTCCATTGGTTGATGTACCAGCTGCTATTCTTCCTGCAGTGTCAATAGCAATCATTCCTATTGTGTCATGGTTTTTATCGCTAAATATGCTTCGGTGTTTTGGATCATTTTTGTGCCTTCTAGTAATATTTGTATCTGGTGTATATGGTCCACAGGACTTGGTTGGATCAGGTTTTACATTCTGTTGAATTGTTACAAAAATGTTGATTTATATAGGATTTTGGGTTTACATAGTGGTAAAGATTCATATTGTAGTCTTAAGGGTTAAGATACCACATAGTCTGGCAGATGGGTATCAACATTTTGGAGGAATATATAAGCTATATCTCCAGGGTTGAACCCTGGGTGTACCACAGTAGGTGGTTACCAATGTTTTGAAGCAATGTACTATGCTTATGTAACATTAGTACCTGCCTACCAGACTACACAGAGTCATAACCGAGAAGACCACACTACAAGCATGCTGGTATTTTCATTATGAACAACTGCAATATATGACTAAATTATCCCTGGGCTTAATTAAATATCATATCATGAAGACATATGAGGGAGTGGAAGTTAGCTCCTTAACCTTGGCACTAGATGGAGGTGACTGATCAGCTTCATTCCCCAGCCACTTTACCCTTGGCATATGGGCTCCCAGTACCCACTGGATAGGAGGATGGGTGCTCCTCAGAGCCAGTCTAGATACTCTGAAGAGAAATATCTTGTCCATACACAGTACTGACCATGATTTCTTGGCCATCCAGTGCATGACTTAATCATTATGCTGAATGAGCAATCCTGACAGTTCTGCTTCATGAAAAAATATGATATAAATATTTAAAATTCATGCAAAATACCTACTGGCATCCTGAATCAATTTACCATCCTTCCCTCTCTTTCATTTAATCATTTCTATTAATTGCAAGTTCAATAATTCATTTTTTAATTAATTTCTTTGTTTCTGCATATAAACATCCCACATTTCTGCAATTAGCATTATGGTGACAATGGCAGTGTTACAGTGCAAGGTGATGAAGAACAGGTACAGACTGGGAGAAAAACCATACAATGTAACTACCCTGTTCAAGAGAGAACATGACGCCCCGCCATAGCTCAAGCAGTTAGTCGCTGGGCCCGGGTTCGATCCCAGGTCTGGTTAAGTGGGATTTGTGGTGGACAAAGTGGCACTGGGGTGGGTTTTCTCCAAGTACTTCGGTTTCCCCTGCCAATCTTGATTCCACCAAATTCTCCATCATCATAATCACCCAGGGTAGGTACACTAGGCGAATCAGTGGCTGCAGTGCCAGTGGACTCCACCCCCCACTAGAGAATTAAAAAAAAAGAGAGAGAGAACATACTGAAATTCATAATCAGTACAAAAAATAGAATAAAATTAACTATAAAAAAGAAGCCTCTAAAATAATAAGTTAATAGTTAACCACCAAAGAAAGGAATACACCAAAAACAAGACAGAAATAAGATAAATAATTCAATACCAAAGGAAAATACTGTTCCTGATCACTTGTCCAGCTGTCCTACTAACTGATTAAGCGGAATTAAATGTAATCACAATAGATTACAAACTCTACCACTGGCAAACAGAGATTATGGCATTTACTGAGAGAGAGGGGAAGAAAGGTTTCAAGTAATATAAGAAAGACGGGTTAAGAAGACTATGATTATGGCCTACAATAAGTAACTATTTGGATTTTCCTAGAATAAACCACATTCACCTGTAAGAAAGAATCATTTCATGATAACAATTTTGTGAATGAGTAATGATGATGATGGTGGTGATTATTATTATTATTATTGTTATTATTATTATTATTATTATTATTATAACTTGTTGCTTTGCATGAGTCTGAAACTTAGTCTCTTACATTTATGGAAGAACAGAGATTGCGGCGGGGGGTTTGAAAACAAGGTGCTCAGCAGAAACTATGGACCTAAGAAAGAGGAAATTACAGGAGGATGGAGCAAGTTGTATAATGAATAGCTTCATAGTTTGTGTTCTTGACCAAATACAAGTACAATGCTCAAATTAAGGATAAGATGGGCACAGCAGCAGCAGCAGCACACATGGGGGAAACACAAAATGCATATAAAATTTTAGCTGGAAGACTTGAGAGGAAGAGGTCACTTGAGAAACATGAGTACTGGCAGAAACATAATATTAAAATGGATCTTACAAAAATAACACATGAGGATGTGGAGGGAATTCAACTGGTTCATCATTGGACCCAGTAGTGGGCTCTTGTGAACATGGCAATGAAAGCTCAGACAGCAAAGTAACTCAGCTTTGCTGTTGCTCAAGAAATTCTTTGCTCCGTAGAATCAGGTAGTTCATGATGATAATATTACAGCTATGAGTACAAGATAGTTCTGCTGTTACTGTTAAGATAGTCAAATCAAGAAGTGTAATAGGCCGGATATGTAGTCTGAAGAGAGAAAAACATGAAATGCATGCACAATTTTAACTAACTGGTGTGTTGATAAGGAGACATGAAAATTATATTAACCCCTTCAGACCCTTAACACAAAATGTGCAGGTGTACACATCAGAGACAAAGGAGAAGGAAAAGGAAAAAAGAAAATAAGAATGGGAGGAGGAGAGGGAGAGGAAGGAGAAGGAGAAAAAGAAGTGGAAAAGGATAATAAGGTAAAGTTATTCCTGTGAGAGGTTGAGGCTTCCACATCTTCTCGACAGCAGAAAAGGATAATAATAGAATAAAAAAAGAGAAACAGGAAAATAATATAGCGTGTAGAGCTGTTGCTGTGTAATGACCACGAGATGAGTGGATACACCAGGGTCTGAAAGGGCTCTCAGAAAAGGAGAGCATGAGAAGGTGAAACAGATTTACAAGTTCAGACACATGCCTAATTTTGATGTTAGCAATGCTGAACCTTTGGGTTTTACTCCCAAGAGATATCTTTTGTAAGACAAAATTGTATTTCATTGTGTTGGTACCCATTATAAAAATTCATGCATATCCATATTATTTTACATACCACCCAAAAGTTGGGTTGGCAATCATTTTCCTTCCAGTTCTGCCACATATTGTGAGAAATGTTTGTTTCCAAAGGTTCTTCCTTGAAACCCATTGAGAGAGCAAATTGTGTTGCTAGGTCACCTACTAACAGGGAATGTTGTGTGTGCTCTAGTACATATCGTGCCACAGATATGGCATTCTTCACACGTCTTAAAGCAGCTACTGCCCCCATATTCATGGTCATTCTGTAAAACATTACAATAACATAATGAATCCTAAATTTCACTAAGAATAAGTTGTTGGTTTTCTATTCTAATTCATCACCCATGTTTTTGACAACGAACAAAAACAGAATGCTTACTGCAAGCAAGAAACAATCTGAATGCAGTGACTATTTGCCACAAAACTACTTAATTATGCAGTCATGTGATCTAACATGCACCAATTCACCAGTGTTGGTCTGAAATGTTATTGAACTTCCACCAAACTACACAGTGTCACATACCAGAAGATCGTACTCATTTTTTTTTTTTTCAATAAATGCTACATAAACAGTCATTTATAAAAGTATCACTAAATGCAGAGAATTCTACATCTGTCGTGCAGCTTGAGGTCTTGGTATCATTGATAGACTGATTATACTATAACTATTGCTATAAATAACTGTGAACTTCCCTACCCCATGTAAAAGTAAGTAAAGTAAAGGTATCCCTGTAATAGGCCGTGGAGGCCCATAGGGTTGTGAGATGTTGAGGTTCCCACATTTTCTAGACAATCGGCTCATAGATGGTGGCAAGGTTGTCAGCCCTACATGCCGGCCGCCCTTTTTTATCTGTGGCACTACAGCCCCAATTTGGGCCTAGGCCTACCTCCATGAAACTCTCCGTTTCACTTCGGTTTACTAGATCTTACACATACGGTAGGACTCCTTGGGCGAGTGATCAGCTTGTCGCAAGGCCTCTACCTGTAGACAAACACAGAAAAACGCACACAAACATCCATGCCCTGAGTGGGATTCGAACCCACGATCTCGGCTTCTGAGTAAGCGAAGACAGTGCACGCCTTAGACCGCTTGGCTACCGTGACCAGTGCCGGCCACCCTTTACCCCCAAGAATATTCCAAAAATATTCCTGGTACTCATTTCTGTTACAGGCTGAGTCGACCCCAGAGCCATAGTGTGGCTGGAAGGATTAGGTCAATTGAAAAAAATTCAATGACCTTATCGGGACTTGAACCCATGACCTTCAAGCTTGTAGCATAGTGCCACAACCAACCCACATACATATTCTAATCAGTCAATGCCCTCTTTATAATGATGAACATACCCATCCATAATCATAGCATCTAATGTAGTTTCACCACTTTCATCAGGACTGCCTCCAAAACCTACAGTTCCATCACACTGTTCATCTTCACATGTAGAACAGCCTTTCTCTACAGCATCCAGTGCTGATTTCTTTTTCAAATATACAGTGTTCCAAGCTGTAAAAACAGGATTCATGCCATCAAAATATTTTGATGTCTGGCCACATTTCACATTTCCTATCAAAATGAAAGCTCTTGTTTCCATGTCCATCAATCTCTCACAGACAAACTCTGTACTGTTTGTGCATCAAATTACCCCAACATGATGGTCTTTTTATAAAATCTTTAAGGGAAATACGGCATAAATCAGGAGTTCAGTGTTTTGGCAATGGGAATGGGCAATAACTGAGTAGCGCCAAGAAAGCTGACTTAAGCAGTAATGTTTCTGATTTACATTCATGAGCTGACCATTTAAAACCTAAGCCAGAACGCCAACTATCCTTGCCAAACTTTTTCCACTTTTCCTTTGACCCTCCAGAAAATTGCTGGGATGGTACGTAAAATTAAGCAATGGCTGCTACTATCCACATTCCTTACAGTTCACTGTGCACTGTCATCCAATCAATCAACAATATATAGCGTAAATTACTGAAAGTGTCATTAAATAAACAACAAATAAATAACCAAATGTGGAAAGGAAGATAGCATAACCCACTGGGGGACTATGACTGAGGTGATATGAACAAATGAATGGAGCATGCAAAGAATAGAAACTGTATGGAAACGGAATACAAGATGTACTGAGGGAAACATGGAAGAGTGAAAATGGCACTGTGAAGCCACGGAAGAGTGAAAATGGCATTGTGAAGCAAGTGGAGACAACCAAGGATGATGACAAAACTAATGAGTGGATCAGTCAGCCACAGGTTTATTGCCACCATTGTAAAAACAACAATAGTAAGATGTCCTGGAAAGAACACTGGATATTTATTTTCCTAAAAATGCTTCAATCTATATAAAGAGGCTAGCTGGAATTGTAAGTTAGTTGAAGAAAGCAGTCTTCTGGAATGTGGTACCGTGTTATGTTATGTTAACTGGTGTTTTGGAAGAACGTATCGCCTCAATCTTCAGGGTAGAAGAAAAAGAAGAAATCCGTGAGCAAAACAGCATGAGCAGGTGCAACAGTCTGTTATGTTAACCGACGTTTCAGAGGAATGTTGTTTAACATAATATCTACATGGCACCACATCCCAGAAGACTGCTTTCTTCAGAGTCACTGCTGTGAAAACCTCAAATCTTATATGTAAGTTAGTTATTGTGAACCTTAGTGATCCATTTATGTGTATAATGTCTCCACCAATGCAGGCTCCTGTATCACATACTACTAACAGAAGTACCTGTTCTCCACCCAGGATATTGTTGCTTTCCTTGTTATATCCAATGCTTTTTTTTTGGCAGTACACAATGATATACAGCACTAACACCTTTTTTCAAAATGTAAAATATGTGTTATAAATAAATAAAATGTGTTCTTGGAAAGTAATGACATGTTCACAAAATTTGTAATATGTATTTTCCTCTGTCACATCAAATTTCATATGCCTAGTTACAGTGGTTAATTAGATCACAAAATTTCATATGTCTAGTTACAATGGTTAATTACTCGTACATCACCATGTAACTGAAAGCAACCACAAATGTTTGTGCCTACCATGTTACTGTTTTATATTCTACAAACAGAAACTCAGCAAAAGCTATGGTTCCTTGAAATTCTACTACCACATCAAATTTTAGAACTCTGCATTAAAGAATTGTGGTGTTGCGGCCACAACAGAAATTTGAATAACTGTCATGTTTCTATTAACTATGACAGGAAATTAAAAACTACACTAAGTGTCATAATAAAGTGGCCTCATGTCCCAAGGGGACCACTGAGCCAAATTCAGGACATTTCCCGCCCAACAGCAGTCTCTAATGCCTCTGGTAGACAGGGAAAGCATCGAGATACTGCTGAGCCAGTAGAGGCCTAACTCGCTGGCTGAGTCGGGACTGATGGCACGCACCAGTACCGGTAGGGAATAGAGACTGGTAGAATATCATAGGGGGACACACAATGGACCAACAGTTGGTCTAAGTGCATGGGGAAACCCACCCTCTCCAATACAATACAATACAATACAAGTGTCATAATATTCATATAAAGGAAATGAAAATCTTTCAGTGTTTTCAAAAGTTATTGGGGAAGAGATGCAGACACACAAGAATGATACCATTAGTCAATTTTTCCTTATAAATAAGAAAAGTAAGCTAAAAACTAACAGCCTGGTGCCCACTTGTCCTACATTTGAGTATTACTTATATTTAGAGCAGTTGAGGTCTTTGCTGGGATTTCTGTTACATGTTTCATTTCAACTTATGGTAATAACATTTAAAATTTCTTCCTAAAGTTCTGACTCTTGTGTACCAGGTATCCCACAGGGGTGTCAGTATAAACTATTTGATGATCCTGCATTATTATCTATCACCTATTTATATCATATCAAATAACAATGTGCAGGAACTTCTCAGAATAGATATGAGGACGATCTTCTACTGTGAAGATGGAGGCAGCAGGTTCCTCCAAAACGTAGTACCTATCTACCAAACTACTTGGGGTCACATCCCATAAGAATTATCTTGATACTCCCCACTATGGCAATCTCAAATCTCACAAATCTAGGCTTTCTGGAATGTTATGATAAAGAAAAAAGGTAAAGCTGTAACAGGCTGTGAAGGCCCATCGGGTTGTGAGATGTTGAGGTACCCACATTTTGTCTAGACAATCAGCTCACAGATGGCGGTGAAGTAGTCAGCCTTATGTGCCAACTGCCCTTTAGCCCCCAGGAAGATTCCTGTACTCATTTCTGTTAGAGGCCGAGTCAACCCCAGGGCCATAGTGCGGCTGGAAAGATTAGGTAAATTGAAAAAATTAGAATGTTCTGATATCCTATAAAACACCAACTGAAGAAGAATTCATGTTAATCGAATATCTCAGTACCTAGTGAGGCACGTATCTTTCCTATCCTGAATATTAGGTCTATAAATACTTTACTGAATGAATGTAATGGTTATCAGTGAGTATAATTTATAATACATGAATCCCTCACCATCTATATATTTCAAGTATCCATCATTGAGAGAATTGAGATTCAATTCCCAGCAGGTGCAGAAATCTCTCTCTATATTCCACTGAAATCATATCGTCTCTGGGTCCCATCCACTCCCCTATCCAGTGGGTACTGGGTCTCTTTCTCTGGGAGTAAAGGCAGTCAGGATATGAAGATGATCAGTCACCTCCATCTAGTTCTGAGGTTAGGAATGTATGACACTATACTTTCGCTCCCCTTATATCTTCTTGGCGTGGTGCTTAATTAAGGGAAAACTACCTTTTTACCTTTGCTCAGTTTTTCCATCCACAAAATTTTATTTTATGCGTGCATGGTCTTTGACGTGAGTATACATGTAAATTGTTGGGCAGGTGACAGTACAATGGCTAGGCTGTGAGCTAGACAACTGGGACATGATTTCTGGCAGACACAGAATTTTCTGTCATTGTATCCAGTGCAGCCCTGGGGGCCTTTCAGCCTCCTATCAAATGGACATAAAAGGTTTCTTCCTAGTGGTAACATAGTTAGGGAATGAAGCTGACCACTCACCACCATCTAGCTCTGAAGTTCAGAATGTATTAAATTATACCTCCACCCTCTTACACCTTCATGATCTTGTGCTGTATTAAGCACATGGACAACTTTATCATTTACCTTTAACGCTTTCACACACATACAATATTAGTAACACAAGGAGAGGATATGCACGACCACTTTCATCATGCTAATCAACATCTTAATTAAAATTATGAAATTACTGATTACATTATTTAAGAAAAATAAGAGAACTGATGATTTAATAATTTAAATGTGTATATTACCTAAATATGTACTTAAGTATTTTTTTATGTTAGTAACTGAAAGGCAACTTGTGCTTGACGAGTAAAAGTGGTTACAGTCCCCTCACCTCCTAACTTCTTTTAAAGCCCTGATAATACCAATTGCAGTGTTATCCTGTGGTTGATGGTGGATCTCTGTACTACGTACCATAATTTAGTGTCCACATCCATTTAAAACAGTCAATACTTCTATTTAAATGAGGATCCGCCTATAAAAATACAAAATTAGAAATTTTGAGACATGACTGTATTCAGTCACGTCCTCCGACTGAATGACACAGTTCTACCATTGCTGGCTGGACTGTTTAACATTCTCAGTGGCACACCAAAGAGCTTTATGGCACTGGTTCCTAAACTGTAGTCTGTGAAATCTGTTGGTATACATTAAATGTAGAATATTTACCAGAAGAATACGCACAATAGTGTGCTTTGTGCAAATATTACTCTAAGGCATATTCACCAAATGAATTATGTGGGTGGTGTTGCTACAATGGTATGCCTCTTGAAACAAAATAGATACAAATATATTGCTATTATGCCTACTATTGTAAGATTTGAGGCTTTCACGGCGGTGACTATGAAGAAAGCAGTCTTCTGGGATTTGGCACCGTGTATATGTGGTGTTAACCGACGTTTCGGAGGAACGTATCGCCCCCATCTTCAGGGTTGAAGAAGTATAAGTAAATCTGCAAGCGACAACACCGTGAGACACGGTCAAGCAGACTGTGTTGTCGCTTGCAGATTTACTTATACTTCTTCAACCCTGAAGATGGGGGCGATACGTTCCTCCGAAACGTCGGTTAACACCACATATACACGGTGCCAAATCCCAGAAGACTGCTTTCTTCATAGTCACCGCCGTGAAAGCCTCAAATCTTANAGATAGACTGAGGGTGTTGAGGAGAATATTTGGACCAAAGGGAGATGAAGTGACAGGAGGTTGGAGAAAACTGCACAATGAGGAGTTTCATAACTTACACGCTTCTCCAAGTATAATTAGATTGATCAAATCAAGGATGAGGTGGGCAGGACATGTACCACGAATGGGGGAGACGAGGAATGTGTATAGAATATTGGTGGGGAAGCCAGAAGGAAAGAGACCACTGGGAAGACCAAGGCGTAGATGGGTTGACAATATTAAAATGGATAGGATGCTATGGTATGGATTGGATTGATCTGGCTTGGGATAGGGACCACTGGAGGGCTCTTGTGAACACGGTAATGAACCTTTGGGTTCCATAAAATGCTGGGAAATTCTTGAGTAGCTGCAGAATTGGCGGCTCCTCCAGAAGGGCTCAGCTCCATGAGTAAGTAAGGTCACCCTAACAATAGTAGATGAAGCTTCTTTGCCTCTATCCTGAGCTGTTGGCATGTCCTCCAAGGTCCATGTACACCCCAGTCTTCTGAGTGATTCCTTTTTTTATAAGGCCTTTCAACAAATATACCTTGCATACATTTCTTCTTTCACCCATTTGTATATACAGTACATCTCAACCTTCCTGCTTCAATTACTCTACCAGTTACTAGATGGGGAGTAAAAATTAGGAAGCATGTTACATATTGCACTTCATCAATGGCACTAAAACCGTCTTTGATTAGCATGAGTATGCCCTCAAGCCACACTTCCAAATTCCAACTAAAATGTGCCCATGATTTGCACTCAATTGTCTTTTTAATTGAACCAATCTCTAAATTTAATGTCAGAATTCCTAAATATATTTCGGGGTTTTGGCATACTTAATAACACTACATTAAGTAGATGGTTATGCAGTATAAAGTGAGAGAAAATGATTGTTAAGCTAGGAGGGACACAGGTGAATGTGTCAATGACTTTCCTTGAAGCATGCTTCCGTGTCAGTTAGTTACTGATATTCACAAAAAAATAACCTTCATTCACAGAGCCAGTCCTGTAACCACCATAATTAACAGCAAAACCAATGCGTTTCTTTTCAGAAATTAACATTTCCCACTTTTTGTCATTCTCTTCAGTGTCGTGGGAATATAATTTTTTACATTCATGTCCAATTATTACCTTGTAGAGAATGACAAAATCGAAGTCACTTTACTACTGACGGAAACGTAGGCATAACGACACCTCGTCGATATCGCAGAGTCCGGTGGTTATCAGTAAATAATTCGAAAATACACATAATACCTGCAAGCTTCGTTTATCAATCGGCTGTAGGTCTAGTGTCTATTTTATAACGTGATTATTCTTACCACTTTGTGTTGCATTTATGAATGGCCATGTATTTATAACGACTGGTACCTTCTCCCAGTTTTGATTATAGTACTTCATGCTTCCAGTGATACAAATAATACCGAGCAAGACGAATAGCAAAATAAATATAACAGTCCTAGAGTTCTTAAACATTTTGATTTGAAAGAATAGAAAATAGACGCCACACACGTACTGACTAAATACACTGTTATCAAGATAAGACAGTACTTCGATGCATCATACTGTCTATTTTACGCCTTCGCATCAAGCAGAACGTATATCTGTCGAAAATACTGAATATTCAGCGAGATTAGCAACATGCTCTACCAATGTTGCAAATTGTACGCGCAAACATTTAGGGAATTTCAGTCCTATAGATTGCAGTACCTGAAATGGAGAGCGGCGTCCTTGCCGCCAAAACCTACATATTGCTATGCCATAATCTAGAAATTAAAAACGGAAGCGTAAATATTTGTGTGAACATATATACATCCTTAATACATTGTGAATTTAACTCAGCCGAATTTGTCAGTCGCCAACTCGCATATATAAAATACGCCGAACATCAACCTCACACCATGCCCATGAAAAAAAAAACCAGTGGGAGGTTGTTAAATAACGTCACACACTTATTAAAAAAAAGCACACACGTCTATATATTTCTTCCAGAACACAATGTCTCACACATTCATTTATTTGTATTTTATTAATATTCATGCATGACAAAAGTCACCAATTAAAAAGGGCATCTTATTAATTCACCCATCTTCTATAGGTAGATAAAACTAGAAGCACTTTAAAACAGGGGAAATAAAATAATAAAATCTGCACTGCAAGTCATATCAATTCACTGCTCTAAAATACATCTACCAAAAGTTGTGATCACGATAAAAACATATAACATTGATACATTTTATGAATAGAATGCATTTGTCATGTCATTAACTGACAAATCCAGCTGCTGACTGGCATCAGCAGAATGCATGAGACCAGTGGCTGTCCCATAGTGTTGACTTTGTGCTGAGTTCCTAACACGTTGCAGGGGATCATTCATGCTTCCTGTGAATGTTGTCATTGGATGGTGATGAGAGATGGCACCAATTGTTTGTGGATTGATGGAATGCTGCAGAAGTGTCATGGTGCGGTTTCCTATGCCTACGGGTTCTTTTCCAGGTCTTCCTGCTAAGAAATGGTAATGGGTGTTCGGAAATTCTTGTGTGGAATGATGATGGCCAGTTGATTCCGAATGGGCTTGGTGAGGATTCATGGCTTGTGATACTGACAAGGTTGGAGGCTGATTCTGCATTGGCTGATGATGTTTCACAGTTTCTACTAAGTTTCTTTGCACCTGCAACTGGATATTTTGGACTGTTGGTGTACCCTGGGTATTGTAGTTAGGAGCTATAGGGAAGTGAACATTGGAACAACCCAGACCAGCAGTTTTCTGCTGGAACATGAGTGCTTCAGCTGCTTTAGCAGCTGAGTTATGATCAGTAGGTACCATTGCATTCTCAACCAAGGAAAGTTTCTTTGCAGTTCCCTTTCTTCTTGATTTCTTGGGGCTCCGGTCCTTCTTAGCTGCAAGATCCATCTCGTCCATCTTGTGAATATGGCTCTCATTGAAGATATCTAACTTCTTCTTCAATGTTTGGAAATCCTTTGACTTCACTTCTTCATGGAATACTTTACGGTACAACCAACTCTTCACCTTTGGAATGTAACCTGGAATTAACTGCCCTAAAATGTAAACAAAGAAATACACTTTTTACAATAAAACTAATGATAACAGAAAAATATGTTCTTAATGTTTATACTGATGTACAACCTGTCTCTAAGTATTACCCTATCTCATAAACGCATCATAATATTATCATCACCTGAGGATTATACAAATTAAATTTCCTTTTGAAAGGTATCATTATTTTGTACACTTGCTAATGAATTATTTTACTGAAGGTAAAACAGTTGTGTACTTACCAGTTTGTGGATTCAAAGCTTCACATTCATATATCCGAAGGAAATGAAGGTACAGCTTAGCCACATTCAGTTCTGGCACCATCTGTCTGTTTTTGTCCTCTTTCATGAAGCTTTTCAAATCATTTGATTTTATTACATTAAACAGGTGATTTTTGATCAAGTCTTTTGTTTCCTGGGGGATTTTTGTGGGTCTGTTATCATGTTTTCCACGACCATCTCGGGGAAATAAGATGTTCTGATCCAATTTTTCACTCAGCGTTCTTATTTTTCTGAAAGACACTGCATGAATATGTGCAAAAGCTAATTTGCAAACCTGTGTTTCTTGCCCCCTGTAACGAATGTAGTACTTGTAAGTACACGTTCTTCTGTCAGAAGCAGCGTTTTTCTTTCTTTTAACGTCGTGTTTTCTGATTAGCCCAAATAAATAGGCATTCTGTTCATCATACGTTTTCAAAGAATAAAAACCATCAAAAAGCATTTGTCTGGTTTTCTCATCAATTTTTTCATAACATTTCAGCTTACAGAGGCAATCAGAACCAATCTTCTTCTGCTCTGTCATCTCTCCTCTGACAGTCACATGAGGTTCTCCGGCAATTATAGATCGTTTTCTTTTCTCTCGTTTCCATTCTGACTGATTTCTTGCCTTTCGCTTTGTGGGTTTTTTTTGTGGTTCTGTTGCTTCTGTATCCTCCATTTTATAAGGTTTGGTTCAGTTCATTTGACGGTTGCCTTGCCAACCAAGTATGAAAATAGTAATTGCCAATCAATACATATTCATACCTAGTGCGCACAGCTGATGTTTGTCCGCAAATGTTTGATGTAAACAAAGCCTGTGTATGTATTCAGGCGAAAATTAACACTTTCTTCTTCTAAATTTGGAAAACCCGAAACCTTGTACAAACGAGGATTATTATCCTGCCGAGACACTTAAAATTTCTATCTATAGGTAGCGCTACTGTCAGAAAAGTAAAGATGGGGTAGTTATATGAAGTAGGAACGGTGATTTGATTATAATTTAACACATTTCATCCTAAAATGGTAATGTTGTTAAAACATAATTTCATGACATTATATTTTTAGTAAGTGCATACATATACGTGTTAATATATAGCATGATGAGTTCTTAGTCATTTGTGATGAGACATGTTACAGGGCCAAGTAAACAGCTGAGCCCACATTATTATCTATGAGCAGTTGGTGTTCAGATGCTTATGCTTAAGAATCAGTAGCAGGGAACAATTGTAATGTGCATGTGTTTGCATTCAGGGTGCAAATATTTCTCAACTGGAACGCGATATTGGATCGGATCAGTTTCCTCCAAATGAACATTACTTCGGCCTTGTAAATGTGAGTTTTTAGTAGATTAATGTTTTAATTGTATTTAGCAGATTAAAATTTGTTTATGTAATATGGTGTGTTCAGGCAGAATAGCGTGGGGCTACGGACTGGACTGCCGGTGTTCGATTCTGGCAGTGGCAAGAGATTTTTCTCTTCTCCTCCACAGTATCCAGACTGGCGTAGGCCCTCCCAGCCTCCTGTCCAGTGGCTACCTGGGGCTCTTTCCCAGATTGTAAAGCAGCCGGGGTGTGAAGCCGACCATTCACGGCTATCTTGTGCTGACATCAAGAATGGTGGAATTATACCTCCACTCCTTAATATGCCTTCATTGGGCACCAGGCAACTTTACCCGAATATACAGTGGTGTACTGCATATTTTATTTGTTGAAGTGATTGGAAATACCCATTCATTCATTCATTCATTTATTGTATATTCCATAAAACCATATACATAGATATAGAACCAGTCACATAGTTAATATAGTACAATACAAATATAATATATGTACAGTTTATAATCATTAAAATAGATAAAAAAAGCATGTGTTAAATTTATATCAAAAAAACAGTCTTACATCACTATACATAAAATTATGCAATATTAAAATTGTTTATGCTATTATCCTTATTTCTAGGCAAATTTGTTACTATAGAATTCATCACATGCATAAAAAGAGTTTTGCAATAAAAATGTTGTCAACTGAATTTTAACATTTTTCAAGTCATTAGACATAGATTTGATTTTTGGTGGCAAATGATTAAAGATCTTTACCCCATGTAACATATAACAGGATCTGTTTAACTTATCAATTACTGCATCAATATGACTTTCCCACATTAAAAAATTTTCAATTTTTAATCCCAGAAACGATATATTAGAAATACTTGGAATTTGATTGTTTAAATAACTAACTTGAACATTTAAGTTTTTACTGTTTTTAGTTCTAAACTGTAGAAAATAAGTTTTTTCATAATTTATTACTAGCTCATTTTTCCTAAACCATTCATTTATCATCTCAAATAATTTATTTATTCTAATTTTAAATGTTGCAGGATTCTTATCAAAGATAAGGATACTTGTATCATCTGCAAATAATATTGTGTGAAACATTAAACAGGTTATAAATAAACAACTATTTCATCAAATAAATTAATTTTATGGTTAGAGATAAGTGCTTCTTATCCGTAATTGTGATCCATAATTGTTTATTATCTTTCAGTTTGGTAACACTTGCTACAGCAATTCTGTCCTGCAGGCTTTATATTTTTGTAAACCATTTCGAGAAAAAGTATTGGAGTACAAAGCAAGAAATAAGAGAACAAAAGAGACACTTCTCACATGCCTTGCTGATCTCTTCTATAGCATTGCCACACAGAAAAAGAAAGTTGGATCAATTGCACCAAAAAAGTTTATTGCTAGACTTCGAAAAGAGAAAGGTTGGTGTTTATAAAATGTGGTGTACATTTGTTGAAGGAATTTGAACATTAGTTGGTAATGTATGAGAATTATTATTCTCTCCAAATATATTAATCTATCTTTTTCTGATTTCAGAGGAGTTTGACAACTACATGCAGCAAGATGCCCATGAATTCCTTAACTTCCTGATTAATCATATCAATGAAATAATTTTAGGTGAATATTTTTATTTATTTGTTCTTCAAATAGGATGAAATCAATAAAATCAGAACCATTTTAAAGAAATTAGCAAATGTATTTTATATTTTAGAAGGCTGGCAGACAACAGACTTATTTCATCAGTTTTTCAGTTTCCAACTTTGCTGCGTGCCATAAGTGATATGTAAGTTATGTTAGGTTAGGTTCTTCATTTTGGTTATTGTGAGGTAATACTGCCATCGGACATCCACCTTTCAGTATTATATGTGTTATTTGAAGTATTTGTTAACGCAGTGTCCACGTTGCATGTACATCTCTTTTAAAGCTATTAAAATACTGTGGCGTGTTTGTTGCTTAGTACTGAAAATGGGAGCATTGATTAATGATGTCAGATAAAGCTAGTTGGTTCAAGTGGTAAAACTGCAACCTTGCATTCAGGATGTTTCTGATTTGAATGTCATCCTGGGCATTGATATTTTTCATCATTTTTCTCTGTTCCTCTAGGTAAATTCCAGGATAGTACCTTAAATTAGGCCATGACCACGTCCATATTTTTTCCAGTTCATTATTCCTTGTCAATCTAGACTTTCATCTGTGTATAGACTGAGTTACTAACTCCATGGACCTGAGTCCGTTTTTAGAAGCCAGTAGTTGCTTGTCCACACAGATTTTCTGAAATCTTCATTACTGTGTTCACAAGAGCTCACCATTCATTCCTATTCTAAGCCAGATAAATGTAGTCCACTCCTTCACATCCTATTTCTTTAAGGCCCATTTTAATATCCTTTCATCTATGTTTGCATCTTCATAGTGTCCTTTTTTCTGCAGATTTTTCCACAAAACTTTGTGAGAACTTGTCTTCTGTCCCAAACATATTACATACCCTGCCCATTTCATTCTCCTTGATTTGATTATTGTGATAATATTTACTGAGGAGGACAAGTTATGGAGCTCTTATGCAGCTTTCTTTAATGTTCTATTATTTTATCCCTCTTGAGTCCAAATATTTTCCTTGGTACCCGTTCTCAAATATTTTCCTATATTGTTAAATAAACTGAACCGTCTTTTATGGCTCTTTACAATTGAGGTCTTTGGGACCCTCTCCATCTACCCAAGTGTTCCACAGAAGCCATCTTTCCCTGTTCCCTATTCAGCTCTTTTGTGACATGGTAGTCATGTGCCCCCCCCTTCTTCCCCTTTGTATTTCTGCCAGCCTTAGTGTCAGTCTCTTTTAGCCCTGGTAGATCTCAGGTGGGCAGGTTGTGCCCTTGACTGCAAAATTATGTTTCAGCTTAACTGTATTTGTTCAGAAATTATATCTCGGCTGTAAGCATGGGGTCGGGGGAATTGAGCCCTCACGAGTCATAGTAGAAGGTTATGGCTCGTCACGAGGTAAAACTGTTTTGATTTGTATTATAGTTATGTAAGTATTGTAAAAGGAGATAGTGTCACGTGTGTGACCGTTATTCTGTTTATGTCCTTCACCTTTTTGAGGAGTTCATAGTGATTATTTCATTTGTATTTTGTATTACTCGTATTTATACCTATGGCTTATCTCATATTATTTTACAATATGTACAAGTATGTGCATTTTGTTACCAACTTGTGTTGAGCCTGTGCATTCGCCATTACGGTTATTCCATCATAGCCTCACTATTCACTGCTCTATTTGATTCTGGTCTGAACCTCGCCCTCCCCCTATTAACCAGCCTTGTTCCTCAGTTTTCTTCTCCCGAGATCCCTACTTCAACTTGGGAGCTTTTGCGACCACCACGTTAGCAAGCAAGTTGTTTCCTGTGAGCGGACGGCTCAAAACTGCAAATAAATTAATACGTGGTCAGACACAGAAAAAACAAGACTGTGCATGTATCTCTTTTTATTTAACAGATTGAGGAAATCAACTGGGATCTCCTTCAAAATAATAGGTTTGTGTATACTGTAAATGCAAATAAACAGTTAACCAGTAAGTTTGCTAGTAACATGTGGCTGTATTCTTAAAAGGCTCAGATGCTATGGTAAATTAAATCTAATGTTTCTGACAGTGGTGTGTAACAGTAAATATTACTATTATTATGAGCATTGACAATCACCTTGAGATTTTTAGACGGTTTTTTAGAAACTGGAACTGTTTCTATCACTGTAGTGGAGGAAAGGTTCTTACAGTTCAGTGATATTTAATGTTAACAGAATCTGTGGGGCCCAGAAAATTGTATACACACTTCAGCATACAAAATATCTGCTTTCAGTTCAACATACAAAATGTCTGTAGATAATCTCTATTAAAGTATTCAACACACATCACAACATCCAGATATCTGCTTAAATAATTTATTGGTAATCCAATCTGATACATAGAAAATGTCTGTAGACAACCCCTATTAAAGTGTGGTTCCATTTTTTGATGGAATTTTTGGGGCCCAGTTTAGTAGGATACTTTCTTCACTTGCATCTGATGCAGGCAGCAGATCCAGCTTCCAAAAAATGGAATTTGAAAAACTGAGATGAAGAACAGTGTCCAAAGTAATAGGCATGTCTGCTGTATTAAAGTTATTCATTTGCTCTCTGCCAAATTTATGTTAGAGCAGAGATTTGACCTAGCCATTTATAAGAGGTTGAGGACTCTTACTTCAAATAAAAGGATGTGCCTTAGTGACACCTCATCTGACCAACTTGACTGGGAAATAAATGTCGAGAAACATCTCACTTCCTAAATAGTGGTCGATTTTGTTGAAAAGACTTGAATGTGTTATTTCTGATGTTGTATTTTAGCGTCCTGTTGCACTGATTCGTATCCATAATGTGTATATATATTTACTGTCTTTTAGTGCATACAATTTCACTTGTCACTCCACACTACATGTTTCAGCATCATGTTTCAGCCATCCTCCAGTGTATCAATCATGTTAAACCATTGCACTGCCTGCCATCTAGTGTCCATTTATAAAATGTGTTTGTCATTGTTGAATAATAAAATGTATATATTAAAACTTGTTAAAATCTATCATCTTACATGTTGTATATCAAACTCGTGTGTAACGCCATTCATCCACTATGGGGCTCGTTCTTCTTATGTTTTTTATATATATATATAAAAATCAAGAATAAAAACATACTGTAACGCCATTCATCCACTATGGGAGTCATTGTTATGATTTTTTTATATATATAACTGATTTCCCAGCTTTGGAAACTATACATGGAGTTACATAAGTTCATGTTAGGCAAGGAAATATGCCCAGCACACACACACATACGTCCAGCAATACAACGCACGCAGCCACATAAGAAAGACGCATCATAAGACATATACACAATTAAAACATAAGAAGAACGACTCCCATAGTGGATGANTTCAGCATCATGTTTCAGCCATCCTCCAGTGTATCAATCATGTTAAACCATTGCACTGCCTGCCATCTAGTGTCCATTTATAAAATGTGTTTGTCATTGTTGAATAATAAAATGTATATATTAAAACTTGTTAAAATCTATCATCTTACATGTTGTATATCAAACTCGTGTGTAACGCCATTCATCCACTATGGGGCTCGTTCTTCTTATGTTTTTTATATATATATATAAAAATCAAGAATAAAAACATACTGTAACGCCATTCATCCACTATGGGAGTCATTGTTATGATTTATATATATATATAACTGATTTCCCAGCTTTGGAAACTATACATGGAGTTACATAAGTTCATGTTAGGCAAGGAAATATGCCCAGCACACACACACATACGTCCAGCAATACAACGCACGCAGCCACATAAGAAAGACGCATCATAAGACATATACACAATTAAAACATAAGAAGAACGACTCCCATAGTGGATGAATGGCGTTACAGACGAGTTTGATATACGACATGTAAGATGATAGATCTTAACAAATTTTATTATTGAACAATGACGAACACATTTTATATCATTTTATAAATGGACCCTTGATGGCAGGCAGTGCAGTGGTCTTATTTCTGACTCCTTTCTATTTCACTGTTCACTATCAACCAGCCATTTGATGCTGTAGAATCTGAATTACTGGCAGAGTCATTAATACACTGACTGCCATGTGACCCACTGGGGGAGGGGGAGCACATATGAGAAACTATTTACATAGAGGATTGTCACCTGTGACCATATTATAAACCTGGAATAAGGAATTCATATTGCAGATGTCACTTGGAGGAAATTTCTTAGTCACATGGCAGCAGCCAGTGTATTACATGAACTACAAATACAAATACATAGACGATATTGGAGTTTTGGTTCATGTTACAAAATATGTGTGTGAGTGTATTAGAGGCACATCAGCACTTTCGGTTTTTTTTTTCCCCACTACAATATGTCCAGGATAGCGTAGTCAGTATAGTGACTGGCTACAGGTTGGATGAATGAGGGGCCAAGAATTTTCTCTTTTCCACGTCATCAGACTGGTTCTGGGGCCCACTCAGCCTCCTATTCATTGGGTATCTGGGGTAAAGTGGCTGGGGTATGAAGCTGACCATTTCACCCCCAACTAGTGCCGAGGTCAAGAAAATGTGCATCTGTACATGCACTCCCTCATATGCCTTCATGACGTAGTGCTTAATCAGTTAAGCACAGGGACAATTTTACCTTACCTTTATGATATATCCATTATTCATGTTGGTGCAAATGTGCCAAGCACAGATGTGAATTGTTTGTGGCATGATATCTGCCTGGGGAGAAGCAGAAGATGAGTTATTTTTTCTTCTAGCCGAGCGGCATCAGAGTAGTTGCAAACCAAAGATGGGAATTGGTGAGGGTCCTACTCCTCAGCCTGAACCAACGTGGGTGCATGAGATTTTCCAGGGGATCCTGACAAGTGAAACAAGATGTCTCAATTGTGAAACAGTAAGATAATTGTATGGTAAATCTTTAATTAAATGGTGGGATTAAAGTAGTTGCCTGGGCTCCGTGTATAGCACAGAAAGTGTCAGTTCTGAAGGGTGCTGATGGTGGTACATTACACTAGTAAACTCAGTGATTCAAGGACAAAATTTTAAATTGATGAGAGTCTGGCTGCTGGGCCTTGGAGTGTAATAGATTCTAAAGGGTTCTGACAGTGGTGTATAACACAGAAAATTACTGGGTTTTTGGACTTTTTCCATCGTCTGGTATTCTAGAAAATATAAAATACGGTGTAAGAAAGGTATATACTGGGTCCATACCAGTTGTACAAGTAGATTCTAAAGTGTTCTGATAATTATTGGATTTCTGGACTTTTCCCGTAGCCTGGAATTCTAGAAAATAGAACACATGACATGTTTCAGGTTAGCTCTTTGTAAGGGGCCCAACTGAGTAAGCGATTCCCCTCACCTGAGGACGGAAACAGATCCAGTTTTTGAAATCTCGTGTTTTCTATTTTCTAGAATATTGGACGATCGAAAGAGTCAAAAAACCCAGTAGTTCTGAGCATAATAGTGTTCGCTTGTCTGATGATACATGTACTTTTTTTTAATCAGGAAGGTTTTTTAAACCCATTGTAGATTCCGCATTCCATATTGAGGGGGTGGGTTTCCCCATGCACTTAGACTGGTTACTGGTCCATTGTGCATCCCCCTTTAATTTCTACTGTCTCCATACCCTACCGGTACTGGTGCTTACTATCAGCCCCTTTCTGCCAGCAAGGTTCCAACCTCTTACTGGCAGTGGTATCTAATAGTTAGTCCTTTTCTGTCAGCGAGGTCGTCCCTCCTCTGGCAGGTGTTCCTAGTCCCTTTCTGTCAGAGAGGTCCCCCCTCCTCTGGCAGTGGTACCTGATACTTCCCCCATCTACCGGAGGAATTGGAAACTAGGTGGGCGGGAAACTTGGCCTAATTTTGCTCAGAGGTCTCCTAGAGACATGAGGTTCTTTTACGTGCCGTAAATCTACGACACGTGACCTACGGCTTAAAGTCCCTCCCGGAGGACTTGTTCCCTGAATTTTTCCACCCTTAAAAATTCCACGACCTCTGCCGGGTTTTTGAACCCGCGTACCTTGAGTCATGAGGTGGGAACCCATTGTAGAAGCATATAGTTTCTATGTAAATTGTTAAAAATTTGCAGATTTGATTATTATGTTATGATACTATAAATGATCAGTTTGCTACTGCCATTCAGACATTTAAAATGTATGTACTAGACACTTCTGATACTCTTGAGCTTCAGTAGTTTGTTTTGGATAATTCCTTGTTGTTCCAGACACTACATATACACATTTTCAGAACATTTTACATTAAAATTACATTTACATTGTATGGAATGATTAATATTTTTTGGCTGTCAATCAGCATTGAGATGCTATATGAACATTTGCTTTGGGAATTTCTGTGTATTGGGAATTAATTTTCTGACATATATTTTATAGGTGAGTAGTAAAGATGAAGATTTCTTTGATCTTCAAGTTGATGTTGACCAAAATACCAGTATCACCCACTGTTTGAAGTGCTTTAGCAACACAGAAACACTGTGCAGTGATAACAAGTTCAAGTGTGACCACTGCAGTAGTTACCAGGAAGCACAGGTAGGAAATAAACGCTCTTGTTGCCAAGCCTAGTGCTACAATGGTTTGCCCCTTTCAAAAATTAAATAAATGCTCTTGTCAGGAGCCTTTGTGGAAGAAATAAGGATCTGGAATCAGTAATCCTACATTGTTATGCTGTCTCTTAAAAACTCACAGCAGTGAATGATATTTATCCATTTTGAGTTGGCCTGCTGAGCATCTGACTCTTCCCACCTAAGTCTACTACTACAAAAGATCTCATTATATACATAGTAATCCAGAATGTTATAACAACTTTCAAAATATTATAGAAATAAAACTACTCATATAATAATAATATAATTCATGCAGGCTCTTTGCAGGTTATGTACAGATTTCAATGTAAGCACCGTGGGTCATACAGCAGATGTGGATCTGATACTACAGTTGATCACAGACCCTAACCAGCATGTCTCTAGTAAATGACACCACTATTTCTCAGATCAGGTCTGCAGTGTTTGTTTGCAGTGGTGGCACAAACACAGTATCCTAGTAACACAAAGGACATACCTGTAAATAGACTTCTGTGGACTACGTTGAGAGACCTCCCTTGTATGCTGCACAGTTATATCAGTGACACAGAGATGACAAGGACTCTTTCCCATGCAGATGCTTTCTTTTGTTTCAAACTTATTACACCACGTATGTAAGATTTGAGGTTTTCACAATGGTGACTATGAAGAAAGCAGTCTTCTGGGATGTGGCACTGTTTAGATGTGGTGTTAACCAATGTTTCAGAGGAACGTATCGCCTCCATCTTTAGGGTAGAAGGAAAAATAAGAAAATCCACAAGCGAAGAAACAATGAGAGCAGCTGCAAGCAGACTAATGTCGGAAATAAACTCAGCTATATGAAAGCAGGAAAGGAAGGGACAGGTCTACATGGGAAATCAGTGAAGAGGGAGAGGGGAAGGGTCTGGGGAGCAGGAGCAAGGTTAGAGCAGGTATAGGATATTGTGTCAGGGGAGAAAGGCAAGGTTAATGGTAGGGAATTAACCCTTAAGCTGGGGGGTTGCTATGCGAGTCGGTTATGGACTGTGTGGCCTTGTGGATCTGGCATCATGTCCCGGGGGGGGTTTTTTTAGGGAACAGATGAAAGGCTTCCATGACTTGCTGAGACAAAACCCCCCTTCTCTGTTCATATTGTCGGGGTGGAGTTCAATNTGATTTCCCATGTAGACCTGTCCCTTCCTTTCCTGTTTTCGCATAACTGAGTTTATTCAGACATTAGACTGCTTGTGCCTGCTCTCACTGTTTCTTTGCTTGTGGATTTTCTTATTTTTCCTTCTACCCTGAAGACGGAGGTGATACGTTCCTCCGAAACATCGGTTAACACCACATCTACACGGCACCACATCCCAGAAGACTGCTTTCTTCTTATTACACCGCATTACACAAGATGCTTTCTCCTTTGTTAGCAGATAGGAAGAGAATCACATTTCCAGCTAGTATTATAAAGAGACTTGGTGGGACTAGATAGCTGTTAGTACATGTGGCATCACTGCAAAATGAATGAGTACTGTATTATTAGTATCTGAAGATGTTTGCCTATTTTGAATTACCCTGTATGTTATAGTCAGAGTCTGAAATATTTTCATCTTTTCAGTTCTTCTGACCTGGAAATACTCAAAGGGTTGTTAAGTATAGAACATTTTGAGGTATTTTTGGAATATTCAAAAGAAGTTACATGTTTTATTTTGTTGCCTACTAGTGGGTAAAAACGAAATATAAGTACACATTCATGAAAAAGATATTAAAAAAATAAAATTTTTTCTTCCTTTATCATAATTGTAACGTAAATCAATAATAACAGTGATTTTTTAATACTAACATAGTCTGTTTCACAAATTTAAAGGCACACTGAGCACAGTTGAAGAAATTTGTACAATTTGATTTGTTTCATTTTGGTCCGTCACACTAACAGTTACAATTATAAAAGACAAGTCCATCTAGTGTGACTATTTCAGTTTTCTCACTTGATGATTCACTAGCCTGACATGTTTCGATCCATTTGGATCATCTTCAGAGGCACCAAACACTTTTTTGAAACCACTATCACAACAGTTGTCATATCAAATACACATGTATTGTCCAAGTACACAATGTTCCATCTATCAGTCACAGCAGCCTTCTGGTTATAGAAATATTTAAAGTTGTTTTAAAGTTTAAAAACTTTGTTCAAAATTAAAAATTCATAAACCATTCAGGTTCATGTTAATAGCCCCTGTCGTCTCTCTTCAAGGTGGCCGATGTTGTGCCGCCTATGTAACTTGAGTAAGGAGATTCTTAATATAGTCCGTTATGATTTCTTGGCCCGCTGTGCTGCGCTGTATAAATATTGCCTCCGTACGTGAACCAGATAGGTTTATGGAAGGTCTAATGGAAGCTGTTCTTTGGTTAAGTTAGAGGAACCAAGTAGCATATTCATATCACTGAATTTGAAGAAATAAATGAAGCGTCCAAAAAAAAAAAAGCACAGATGAATAGAGAATTTAGGTTAGTCTTCTTGTTTACAACATTGTAGTCTCATAAATAGATATATTTTGGGGATGCCCTGAAGATGTAGGCAGCAGACTCCTCTGAAACACTGATAGTCGTATACAAGACTGCATGGTATCATAACCCAGAAGACCCATGTCTAAATTTGCAACACCATAAAAGCCTCAGATCTCATATAAAGCAGAAAGGCACAGCTGTTTATTGCTTTATTGTAAGTCTGATTATTTATCCATAACAGACTTCACTTATTTTCTAACAGAAACGAATGCGGGTGAAGAAGCTACCAATGATTTTGGCACTTCATTTGAAGCGGTTTAAGTACATGGAACAGTACAACAGGCATATAAAGGTTTCCCATAGGGTTGTATTTCCTTTGGAGTTGAGGCTATTTAATACGGTATGTATATATATGTGTGTGTGTGTGCGTTTTTTTTTTTTTACACATACTACTTGTCTTTGTATCATTCTTGTGTTCTCTTTGTGTTTTATGCACATATAAAATGCTTAATTAATTAAGCAGCATGCCATGAAAAGGTATGGGGGGAGTTGAATTGAATTTATTTACATTCTATAAATCCTAAGCAGGTTAGTACCTTTGGATACAGAACAAGTCAAAAGGTTACATACATAAGTACAGGCAATTTTAGCTTAAAAATTAATATAACTTAATTTTAATCATTCTCTATTTACATTGAAGTATTCATCTAAAGAGTAGAAGGAATGAGCATGTAGATAATTCTTTAACTCTGATTTAAACTTTTTAGTATCATTGCCCAAGTTTTTAATACTTTGTGGCAGATTGTTGAACACTTTTATGCCAGTAAAGTAGACTCCTTTTTGATATACTGATAAAGTTGATGAGGGTAGGTGGAAGTTATATTTTTGTCTAGTATTCATGTTATAGACATCAGAATTTAATTTGAATTTATCTTTGTTGTAAACAACAAATAAGAGAAGCGATAATATGTATTGCGATTGAAGAGGTAGAATTTTTAATTTCTTAAATAATTCTCTACATGAATCTCTACTTCTACATCCTGTAATGATTCTGATTATATTCGTTTGTATTTTAAAAATTATTACACTATGTGAAGAGTTCCCCCAAAATATTAATCCATAGTTCATAATAGAATGAAAGTAGGCATGGTAAACCATCTTAAATGTTTCCTGTGACATAAAAGGCTTAATTGATCTCATCGCATAGCAAGTTGCATTTAATTTAGGTATAATTTGTGGAGGATAGATCAATGTGTTCTTAATCATGGCACTAGTAGAAGTGACTTATGAGCTTCATGTCTGCAACTGGTATACACCCAGTGAAAGAGACTTAAGTATTCGTTGTATAGGAGGCTTGTGTGCCCCTTAGAGGCAATCTGGACACTATATAAGGAAAAGAAAAGTCTCTTGCCCCCTACAGGGATAGAACTTTGATTCCTTGGCTGTCCAGTCTGTCACTGTACTGATTGAGCTATGATTAACTTCAATCTCAATACTAAAATTTACATTTCTACTCAAAAGTAGTTTGTAATCATAAAAGTGATTAAATAATTTATTCATAATTGTTACAATGCTGTAATGGTTTGTGTGAAATTATTTATAGTAATCATTCCTTGCCTCCTGTTTTATTCTGCCCTTTCATGCCACATTTTGAAGCGTTTTGAAGTGCAAGAAACTATTCTACTTTTCTGTCTTATATGCAAATACTAATACTCAAATTTCAGGTCTTGACTGTTGTGGTTGAGTGGTTAGCATTCCTGTTTTATACTTTGGAGGGCCCAGTCTTGATTCTTTGCATGGGAGTAGCTGTTCTGAGATCTTCAGTTTGCCTTCTTTCCTACAAACAAATGCTATAATAGGGGTGTAAAACTGGCTGTGGTAGCTTCTTTCTATTTCCTCCCCACATTTATAGTTTAGAGTAATATCTCATTAATTTGAAGTGATTGGGATCAAGATGTTCAGACTTTTAATTTATTAAATTAGAATTATTTTGTTTTCATGGCAGAGGTGGTTGATACTGGTGATGTTAACACTGCCCTGGACAGACAACAGATACTAAAGAACAGTTTTATAATCGGGGAAATTGTAGCTTTTATTACAAATAATTACATTTATGAAGTAGAATTATAAATTTGGCTTGATCATTAATATACATCTGTGAAATTTAATATCACTAATCATGTGCATTATTTTTTATGAACATATGAGAGTCCTTGTATATCTTAGCAACAGACTCTTGTATTTGTTCATGGCCTCAGCAACACTGTCATTCACATCTGTACATCTTATTATAGAATCCAGTATTGATAATGTTGGTAGGACTTTGTTGGATGTAAAGGAGTTGGCTGTTTCTTCTCTTTTCCCTACTGCACTCTTCATGCTTGCTTACTTCACAAATAGAGCCAGGGGTGACCATATTTTTTAGTATTGTCATCTGTGGATAGTGTATAATATTGTTCACATCACTGTATTCAGTGACACCATGGAATTCACAGTTGCAAATAATTGTATTTGAGTTGGATTCCTGAGCTACTTCTCATTGCGCTGACAACATTCCATTTTCTAATCTCAATAAACATAATAATAATAATAATAATAATAATAATAGACCATGCATTTCCAGTGTGTACATTCAACGTAACGGTTGATACCTTGATCCAGAGGCTGCGTGTAACGTGTTGTATATGGAGATAAATACAAGACTTGAACTTGCCTTCATGCTTTCATGTTAATATGCTGCACATAAGCAAAGTAACAGCACAGTGGCACTATTCTTTAATGTTATTTTTTTTGTAGCACAGGAGTCATTGGCAAACTGCCATCACAGTAACCAGTGCCTGCTGACTAGCTTCATTTCCCCATGGACGGTTCTTTGTATTCTTAATGCAGTATGGTCTTTAAGGTCTGCCCATCCTGATATCTATGAGTGTTAGCTCAGTAATTAGTTTTTTGTTCAGATTATGTTTTGTGGATTTTTAACTCATTTAAACAAGTAGTTGTGACTTCTTATTTCCCTCCATATTGCAGGAGAATAGCCATCAGCTTTTGCTTCTCCATCTTTCTTTATAGCACATTTCTCTTTTAATTCCTGGACTTTGGTCCATGGCGGTCATAACGTTATATAACTGATATACTATTATATGTCATATAATAAAATAATTTAAATTTAAAAACTGTGATAAGTTATTGTTTAAACAGTGTATTTTAAATTGATGGACAGAAAAAAGTGGTTTATGGCAACTTAACTATAATTTTTTTTTTTTGTATTCACAGAAAGATGTGCAATTACATGCTCTTTACACCTAAGTGGAATGTTGATGATAGTTGAGTGGTCTGCATTTGCAAGCACAGTCCGTATGGCAACTGCATATGGGCTGGACGGCTGAGAGGGGTCAGAGTTCGAGTCCCAGTAGGGTCAGGATTTTCTCTTCTCCATATCGTACAGACCAGCTCTGGGGCCCACCCAGCCTCCTATCCAATGGGTACCAGGGGCTCTTTTCCCAGGGGTGAAGCTCACCACTCACCTGCAGCTAGTGCCAAGGTCAAGAAAGTGTGGATGTATATATCCACTCCCCCACACACCTTCATGGAATAGTGCTTAATTAGATAAGCACAGGGACAACTTTACCTTTGCCTTTACGCATGTGGTAGTCCACAGTTCCTGAAAGTTTGAGAAACACTGTTCTTGTTGATTGTGCATTATAAAACAATGGACTTTCACCCATCATTGATGCATACACTGCTCATTTCACCATCTTGATTCAGTATCCTTAATAGTGTTAAGAAATAAATACAAATTATGTAGATCCACATTTAATTTTCACTAGCAACTTTTATTGTCACACAAATCTCAGGCATCTAAATATCTTCTGCAATACTTTTTTCATATTGTCCTTCACTTTATGTTCCTCCCTCAGACCATGTTTTCTGTCTGTGCCATACTTACTTACTTACTTACTTACTCATGGAGCTGAGCCCTTCTTGAGGAGCTGCCAATTCTGCAGCTACTCAAGAATTTTCCAGCATTTTATGGAACCCAAAGGTTCATCACCATGTTCACAAGAGCCCTCCACTGGTCCCTATCCTGAGCCAGATCTATCCAATCCATACCATCCCATCCTATCTCTCTAAGATCCATTCTAATATTGTCCACCCACCTACGCCTTGGTCTAGCAGACAAAATTATACTTGTAGTTACACATGTTTTAATCGTTGGCTTTTATTCTTAAGATAATACTTGAATAATTAAAAAATCAGAAGTACTGCGAGATGCAGTTCCCATGTGACATTATATGTTTCAGTCTGATGATGCAGTGAATCCTGACAGGTTATATGACCTGGTTGCTGTTGTGATACATTGTGGAAGTGGTCCAAATCGGGGACATTACATTAGTATCGTAAAGAGTCATGGTTTCTGGCTACTTTTTGATGATGATATGGTTGATGTAAGTCATACATTTTTAATTTCATTACTGTAGACAGTAAGAGAAACAGAGATTGATGACCAGATTACAAAATCTTGATTAAGTAATGTAATATTAACAGAAGGTAGGAGAAGAACACTCCACCATATGTGAGTACCTATACTCATTACACTGTGCTGCATATGAGGGCCACATTTTTCTATACATTTTGCAAGTGACATTCATAATGTGGCATGGAGACCCATTGCTAGGCAACGACCATGAAACAAGCAACTGTACAACAGCCATTGCCAAGTAACGGCTCCACAAACAAGCATGTTTCCATAGCAACAAAAGAACAGAGCTATAATGGAAGAGAACTTTTCTGCAAGTTCTGTGCTGAGGTGTTGTAACCAGGACAAGTTCCCCGCGTGGAGGCAGGTTCGAATACCTCCACTATAGCCCTGCAAGTTGGAGGAGGTGACGAAAAAGGAACCCAGTGCCAGGGGTTATAATTGGGCCACCCTATTCCTGCAGGATATAAATACAGGGACTTGGCCCTCCAAGTTGGCAGAGTCTTGAATCAGAGACAGTGAAACATGGTCATGAGTCCCATGGAACTCAGACCTGAGAATGACTATGCTGACCAGAGCCAGCAGCAATTGTAAATGACCCATCCTCTCATCAGAGAGGGTGCCCCACATCAGCAAACCCACAACTGTTTGGCAGTAATAAAAATATGTTCTTGCGGCCCCAGATGAATGCTTGACACCAAGACAAACTGACCATCTGCTGTAACTTCCATGATATGTATACAGTTGCCGTCTTGTAGTGCACTCAATTTCACCTGTTACTTCATGACATGTTTCAGCAACATAGTGCCATCATCAGGTGCCCTAATTACGTTAATCTATTTCATTGCTTGCCTTTATAAAATTATTTAAAATGTATTTAAAAAGTGCATATATGTCAACTCTAATAAATTTACACACACTAAAACTTGTTAAGATTATTCATCTTATGTGTCATAATTAAAACTTGTGTGTGGTTCTTCCACTATGGGGGTCGTTTTTCTTATATTCTGTGTAAACCTGCAACGTGAAAAAAGTACTTATTATTATTAATTTTGGCTTCTATCTGTTATATAAAGGCAAGTTATATCAGTACACTGTGGAGATAGAACAAATGATTGCCCACCTGCTGGCCGAAATAAAGGCAGAAATGAAAGCTGGCAAAGGTGGAAACCAACCAAGAAATGGGGGAAGCCAAGATGGATATCAGTCTAGAGACCACAGAGGCCTACCTAGAAGACATTGAGGTGAATTGTGGGAAAGTAGAAACCAAGATGGAAGTTGGTCTAGAAGAGGGGGCAGTAGAAACTATCAGAGCTCTGAAGGACCAGTCTGAGGACTGGGGTCATGGCAGAAGTTGGCCACCATGCCTTTCCTGCATGGCCTAAGGACTGCAGTCATAAAGGACCAATGGTTGAGAAGAGATGATGGAAGGGCAAAGAATGCAACAGTGGAATAAAGGACCAAGACCCAAGATGGCAGCTGTGTCTGAGGAATGAGAAGATATCTGGCAGGATCTTCAAGAAGACTGTAGAGCTGGAGTTCGAAAAGTGAATAGCTGGATATTTGACTGGGCTGCGGGAAATGAGTGACCGGATATTGTGGAGGGGTTGGCAACCTCCAAAACAAAAGATGTCAGGAACACAGCTCTCAGAAAGGAAAAGAGAGTGGTATGCCTCTAGGCTATTCGGGACAAATAGGCTGAAGGAGGGAGCAATGTGGCATGTAGATCCACTGCTAGGCAATGACAGCCTTTGCTAAGTAACCACTCCGCAAACAACCATGTTTCCAAGGCAACGAGGGAACAGCAATAATGGAAGAAACATTTTCTACGTGGTCCATGCTGAAATGTTATAACAAGGACCAGTTATCAGTTAGAGTAGTGTTTCTCAACCGCTGGTACCAGGCCCTCGTCTTATAGAAAAAAGAATTTACCAGGCCACAGTCTGACAAACGTTGAGAACCACTGCGTTAGAGGACCGCTGGGGCTCAGTCATTGTGAACTGTTGTTAGAAGCTGGTAGCTGAGGCCACGGACAGTTTGGGAATCCAGAGGAAGGGAACATTTGCAGTTGGAAGCTGCTACCAAGAAAAGGCAGTGAAGACACGATTATGAACACTAGTATGCGTGTAAAAGTGAACTGTAAAGTGTAGTCACTGTTTATCGCAGTGTGCAATAAATCAAGTCATCAGTCCAAAACCCATCTGTAGTCACACTCGGTCATGTGACCATATATTTTGCAAGTGCAGTCGATTCAACTAATGCATGATTTTGGTTTTTGGGAATATGCTGTATAGAATGTTGAAGGTTTTTGACATTTCAGCAAACACCATAGTTGCCATCCTTATGGTTTAATGACATTGAGGGGTCTTTTACAGCTCTTATAGAGCTTTTGCAGTGTGTAGTGAAGTGGAGATGAAACAGAGGCTCATGGTGCCAGCCATTAGGGAGCAGTCACATGGTTAATCAAAAGAGGCAATGGAAAATAGTTTGGTGGGCATGAAGAGAAGTTATGAAAATTTTTCTATAAAAAGAAATCCCCCAGTTATTCACCCTGAAGTTGGCAATGTAATTTTTATTGTTCCTTGCATCCTGTTGTGTACTAGACGAATGTTNTGGCAATGTAATGTTTGCAGAAACAGAAGACCTTTAACTTTTATGGATAGAAGTGTCTGGGTTTTGTGCTTGGTCTAGATTGATGGGTTTAATTTTGATTTCTTGTTCTGTCATACAGTGTAACTGTTGTTCATTTAATTATTTTGATTGTTGATAAAAATATTTTGTTATAGGTCTTCATGGACATTTTCACAATTTTTATTGTAAATTTTCTTACTATTTTCTGTTGACAGAACTTGATCATAATGGTTTAAATAGTAAGGCCCAATAATACTGTGCAGTTACCTGTTTTGGAAGAATCTGATCTCTTCATGATACAGGGTTTGTCCGAAAAGTAATGTCAGTTATTTTATTGTGAAGTGACTATACGTCGCAGCACTCTCAGACCGGTTGGGCTCGGTGGAGGGGGAAGTCAGCTTATGAACCCGCGGTCGCTTAGTCGTCTCCGAACTTCCTGAGAGTGACGAAAGGCTTTTCCGTGAAACTCGTTTTTGTCTCCCGTGCAAGCCGCAATGCAGCGCTCCTTGGAACAAAGGATTGCCATCAAGTTTTGTGTGAAACTTGGCAAGTCTGCAGTGGAAACTTTTNTAACAATAAACAGAACTGTGTGGTGTTATGGCCCACAAGATCTCAACCATAATATTGAACACCATGAAAATCTTAAATCTCAACACATGATTAATAAATAATTTAAGTTTTATTAAGCCCTATATTTAGTTACAAAAAAACTTGTACTTGTGTGGACATGTTCCTAATACATATTTAGGTTTCTGACATACATATTGTTTTTGTTTGTTGCCAGAAAATTGATGCATCCACAATTGAAGATTTTTATGGACTTACATCGGATATTCAGAAGTCTTCAGAGACAGGTTATATTCTCTTTTATCAGTCAAGAGATTGTGTTTAATGGAGAAATAGTGCTAAACTATGTCCTAGCAGCCTTTTGCGAATACTGTAGGTTTTATGAGCTTCTGTTTATAAGTGCCACATTTCTGTTTGCCACACTGGATTTTAATATCGGTACAGTTATGCTGTAACATTATAATGAATGTGGGTCATGCTATATGTGTGTTTTACAGCACTTTCAAAATTTGATTTAATAGCAGTACGTTTTGTTTGGTGGGTTCACTTCCCTGTGGAGTGCTAAAAAGTCACTCACTGAATGAAATGAAATGAAAATTGATATTAGGGAGCATCACAGTTGTGGTTAAAATCAGACAACAATAATTGTTGAAGACCTGTTTGCATTTTATACTCATGCTAAGCATAATTCATGTCTAAGTCACTAAATATTTATCAGAGCAAATGTTGTAGAGAAAACTAAAATGCATGGTTTATGTTCAGTACAATTTTTCCATCAGTTTTATGGTTTTTGAGACAAACAGATGGGAGTGAACATGTTAGAATTGTTACATTATTTGTACATTTCCTGACTTTCTTTTGTATGGATCCTATTATGCTATGATTATATGGCCATCAGCACAACAGTCTTAAAATAAATAAACCAATATTATTTTAATAACATTTATTATACTGTGCTGTGTGATTCTGCTAGGAGTCCTAACAGAATCACAGAACAACCACAATATCCAGTAGTGGAAAAAAGTAGTATCTCCATGCAAGATGCAACATATACAACACAAACCAAAACATAATGATTCCACCACTGTTATTCGTGACACCACAGAAAGGAATGTAGAGAATATATACAGAACTTATAGCATCGTTAGCACTCAAGTAAACACCCACATAACATACGTAACGGACTAAAAACAATGCCAAAAAAACACCCAACTACCCTCTACTCTATGACAACTCACCACTGGCACTCACTTTAGTTACAAGATAGTTTCATTTTAATTTAAATTATAATTGATTTAACAGTTACTTTTAACGTTCTGATAAAGATTTAAATAACTGTTTTAACGTCTTAACCTGTAAGACTGATATTACATCAATTTAGTAACATAATGAGACACATACAAAAAATTTTAACGATATTTATATCAGTACAATTACTAATATGGATCCATACTAGGACACAATCCAACAATGAAAGATGTATCATGAAAACTGCCTGATGATGATCCAGGTGGGTCGAAACATGTAGCAAATACAGAATAATAAACAAATGTTAATACAAGTACAGTAATATTGGTTTATTTATTTGGAGATTGCTGTGTTGACAGATTTATACGTAATAGAGCCACATTCACTAATGTGTTTTTGGTTATTATTTCCCAGCTCAGTAATGTAATATCTCTGGTGATATCTTCAGTATATTGTAAACTGTTTTAGTTTCCTGTATTTTATCATTGTAATAGGACCTGTGTGTTGCTTAAAATACCTAATGCTGATGTGAAGCACATACATGGACGCACGCTTAGGAGCAAATAATGACAAACTGTTTAGAATATATTGAAGTATATGAAAAAACACACAATGGATTGCTAATGATTCTGACGACATTTTGGGAGCTGTGATTTTTTAGAAGAGGTAATGCTCTGCGGCAAATTATACAAATAAGCTATGTGTTTCCATTTCATCATGTGGGAGTAAAGCAACTAAAGCTGATGATATTGGGGGCTTGTTTTATAACATGGATTTGTGATGGCTGTGAATTTAACTTTTAGTCTGTGATGTACGTGAGCAGCCTATATTGTCCCACTATACATGGCAGTGCTATTACCATAAGAGCTGTAGTCTTTCACAAAAGTTGGACAGGCCATAGCTACACCAATCTCTTGTAGAATGCCTCTATACTTGTGTTTAACACACATATAAGTGACCAACAGAAGTCTGTTTGAGCCTTGCAAACAGCTTCACATTTTAAGTTTCACCTAGAAAGATAGCTTGTCTTGCCATTGCTTGGCCAGAATTTTATGTAAAATGACAGTCATGTGGCTCTAAACATTTTATTTATCAACATGATATTGGAGGCCGGAGGAAGTTTTTATGTTTCCACTGAAGCTGAACACAATTCAGTATTCGAATCCTACGTATTTACCCTTTGGCCACAGGTATGCTAACCAAGCTCTGTTGTGTTGAATCAAGTCTGGCTCACTGAGATGTTGCAAAGGTAGACTCATTTGATTTGCACAGAATGAGACAGATGGAGTCAAGTAAAGCTGAGGTCTGCCTTTGTAGTGAGTGAGACTTATTTCACCTCGACTGAACTAGATCTGTTTATTGTGCTCGCAGCCTTAGTAGATCAGAGAATTGACTGCTGCATTACTGAACCCCAAAGGTTACAATAACGATCTCCAACCTTTAAAAAAAATTTTAAATCTTTTTTTTTTTTTTTTTTT